CAGAATGTACCAGTCTTTTTGGTCCTTTACCAAAGGCATAGTGGACATGGAACTGCTTTGAGTTATAAACGGAATACTATACATCTCAAAAAAAAAAATCCTGCTGAAACCACACAACACTTCATGACAGGAACTGGAAACCATTGTGCTGAGTGAAGTTAGTCAACCACCAAAGGACAAATATTATATGAGTCCACTACCATAAGGATAAAAACTAAGACAAAGACAGGGTGCAGCTGCCAAGATATCTAGACTCCTAATACCCTAACCAGCTGATTGGTGTATATATCTATCTCCCACAAAATACATACCACCCCCTCAAAAAGCAAGAGATACGACCCTAAAACAAATGAGGTCAGTCTCCCAAATCGAGGGAAGTAAAAGAAAACGAACAAATGACTGTACCAAGACAGTGTTTTATGATCATTCCAAAGCAACAGACATTCATATCAGCAAATAATCAGTGAAAATTACTGACAGATCTAATGAAGAGGATGGAGGTCCAGGTATATATTGGCGATGGGGCAAGCCTACATCGAATAGTCTCTGGGCTGAGTGGGACACCTAGACACTTGGAGGAAAGTTTAACCCTGTTTGTAGAAACCCAAGACATGCGTGGTAATTTGTTCCTAACTGGGCAATCATGATCAGGCTCCTGGTCAATCACTGGTGACCCAGGCCATGTAAGATTGATAAATCAGACAATAAACTCTAATCTCCACATCCTGTAAAAGTGTGAAATTATATGTTCAATAATACTACCCCATTGACTAAAATAATATTCCTAGCAATCTAGCAATAGGATGGTTCTAAACCCTTGGGCAATGATTTAGGATATATTACAATAAAATGACAATGATGTGCCAAAAACCTAGCCAAGAACTTATAGGAAAAAACATAAGAATGGATTTTGAGCTATCACTTGATCATAGCCTTAATATAAGATTAGTTGATTCTTACAACATGGCCTTGCCTGGTACTTGGCCCCATGAAGAGATCACTGAAGAGTTGGGTGCCATAGCACAGTGTGAAGAAACTAGATGATATTTGGCTATCAAGAATAATAGCATCTGGGGTTTTAGAGACTTGTCCCAAACAAGCAGCCATCTAAGTAAGGAGTCAGCTAAGTCCACACAGAAGAAGCACAGCAATCTCTGTGATTCAAAGATAGCTAATAATAAGATCCAAACCTGGAAAAGCGAGTGGTACCAGTGCCCAAATCCTAAATACCAGGATTAAAGAAAATTATAGGTGAGAGTGGTAGCAAAATCTATTGTGGGCCACTACACGGGAAAACCCTCGCTGAATCTCTAAAGCATATTGCTAGAAATGACAACAGCTCACAACTCAAATGGCGAACACTGTGCAAGGGATTTTAGCAACTATGCTCAGGCTGGAATGTAATGTCTTGTAATTTGATTCCCTTACAGACCCAATGTGAGTTTATTCTAGACTTTTAATACTGTCGACTTTCTATTAGATTGATGTGTCTATTGGTTATGTATAGCCATTGTTGATGGATCCATGCTGGGTGTCTTCCCTAGTCTTTTTTTCTCCCTCTCCATTTTTAAAAACCGTTTTATTGTCATGTAATTCACATTTCCTACAATTCATTAGTTCAGTCATATTAAAAGTAGTTGTACAATTTATCACTACAATCAATTTAAGAACATCTCCTTTCTTGTACTCAAGGTTATTAGCTTCCCATTTCCCCCCAACCTCTCTTGTCATACGCCCAAGAAACAATTAATCCAGTTAACTTCTCTATACATTTAACTATTCTGGATTTTATATGCAGAAAAACATTGTGTTAGTCTGGATACACTAGAGAAACAAATCCACAGAAACCCATATGTATAAGAGAGTTTTATATAAAGGGTAAGTGCACATCAAGAAAACATCCCAACCCAGTGCTGCCCAAGCCCACAAATCCAACATTAGCCCATATGTCCGACACCAATCCAGATAGTCCTCCTCCATCTCATAAAACACACGCATTGATGCCAACTGCAGGAGGAAAGCTGAGTCAAGTGAACGTGTAAGCATCGCAGTGCTGGCAGGGGTCTCCACACAGCTGCTCCAGCACCCAGGGCTGCATCACAGTAGGTTCAGATGGCTTCTCCTCAGGGATGTCATGCAGGAAGTAAGCCTTGCCAGCTGAGGCAGGGAATGGGCTGCGGCAGCTGCACCCTGGTCCAACCATAAGAAAACAAGAGACCAGAGAACTCGAAAGGCGAGGCTCACTGAGCCATTTAGCTCTCCACCCTTCAATTAACCTCACATGTGTTTATCGGCCAGGTTGGAACAATAAACATTAACTCTCAAACATACAAAATCAACAACAACAAAGTACAACAGAGAAAAACCTCAATTGAAAAGAAAGCAGGAAAAATTAAAAACTAAAACAAATTTAAAATGGGTAAAAAGGGATATTAAATGATATGGTGTTCAATTTTAGCCTAAGTGCAGCTGTATTTACCTGAGACTTAAACCGTGTGTATTTTCCATTCCTTTTCTAGTTTAACTAAAGCAACTTCAAAATGGGTCAAAAGAGAAATCAAATGATATAGTGTTAAATTTTAACCTAACTGCTGCTTCATTTACCTGAGACTTAAACCATGTGTATTTCCCCTTCACTTTCTTTTTTAACCAAAACAACTTTAAAATGGATCAAACGCGAGATTAAGTGACAAGATATTACATTTTAACCTGGCTGCATCTGCCATAATCGGCTTTACGGTGCTTTCAGTATGATGACAAGGCTATTCACATTCCTCAATTATGTGAGAGGTGCCCTGGTGGTGCAGTGGTTATGTGTCGGGCTGCTAACTAGAAGATCTGTGGTTTGAAACCACCAGCCAGATCTGCAGGAGAAACACAAGGCTTTCTACTCCAGTGAAATATTATCGTCTCAGAAACTGACAGGGCAGTTCTACCCTGTCTAATAAGGTCACTATGAGTTAGCATCAACGCGATGGCAGTGAGTATGGTTTGGTTTGGAAATCCATGTGTGAACCTCAAAAATGGATTTTTGGCTTCCACTGCCATCCACAGCCTTCTGAAAACCAGATGTTCAGAATTTAAACTCTGATACAATTCCCTTCTTTTCATTTGGACTTCATTATTTACAATTCCTGTATCACACAGGTTGGTGTGCTTCTTTGTGTGGACTTAGTTGACACTTCATTTAGATGACTTCTTGTTTGAAAACAAGTCTTTAAGACTGCGGACAGTATTCTTTCTGATAGCTGGGCACTATCTAACCTCTTTGTCACACTTTGGTATAGCACCCATGTCTTCAGTGGTGTCTTCATGAGGTGAGCTTCAAACAGAGCCATGTCTTAAGAACTAATTGTTTTGGGGGGTTAGAATTAAATGTGAACCCCAAATACATTCATATCTCTATGATTTATATATACCTCTGGTTCACTTTAGAAGCATCACTATCATCCTATGTTATAGTAAATTATCAAACATCCCCTGTGCCTTGTCTTGCATAGGGAAACTAGGACTGAAGAAAATATGAAAATAGAAACAGGATTAATGCATGGCCTGGGGTCATGGAAAAGGAAGAGAGGGAACTAGAGAGTCAACATCACTGTGTAAAGAAGGGGAGGGAATTCTAAATTTAATTATGATGACGATTGTCAGCCCTTCTTGAAATGATTGAATTATATATATTCATTATAATTCAATTTTTTAAGTAATTAGATACTTCATAAATTAAAAGGAAGTCACAGATTCTATAGGAGACAATTTGAGTACTGAAATGTAGACTATGAATGATTGTTATTTACTAACTTTATGCATATAGGTATCTGAAATTCTGTTGGTTTTTCTGTACTTAGTGTCCCGATGGTACTATTATTCTAGATTTAAGCAGAACTTAAAATAGGCAGAGAAAAAGATTATAAGATCAGCAATTGCAATATAATTTAGGAGGAATTGTTAGTTAACGCAGTTCACATTTGAGACATTTTCCCATACTTTAAATAACAAAATAAACTATACTATATGGAACATACAGTATACAATAAGTGACAAATCATGCCTTTCAACTGTGACTCCAGTTCAGTTATATATCCCAAGAGAAATGAATTAAGGAGCAAATAAGAAAAATTAAGGTATTTACATATTTTACCTCTTAGTAAAATTATTCCTTTTAAACTTATTTTTTGCTTTTTTACTTATTACATTTTCCTACCTCTTATAAAAACAAAACTTTTGTGTTAACTGCTTCCAATTTCAAAGGACAAAATTTAAAACCCGGCTGGACATTTTTCTTTTTAATCATCTACACATGAAGCATAATTTGAAGTATGCAACCAAAATAGTTTTTTTTTGCAAAGGGAAACAAGCCAAATTCTAGGGGAGAGGAAGCATAAAGAAATGATATGAGGGACTTCAAAAAGTTTGTGGGAAATTTTCATTCTCTTTTAATTCCATTTTTCCACATATCTTCTGAAGATCCATTCTACCAGTAAAAATGGCTTGTTAAAAGTGCTAAATGGAAAGGCAACATTTAAATTTGGAGGGTAAAGAGAGGAAGCGTTATTGAAAATGATATGATCTTAAGTTTATACAGAGAAAGAAAACCAGAACTTCTTCATCTTTCCTGAAACTACAGTAACAAATGAGGCTCAAGATTAAAGATTTATCCTGGAAATTAGAAAAAGTATTACTTATAAGGAAATATAAAATTCAATGCAAGAGGTCATGAAGGATTTTTGTGGAGTTTTTTTTTCATGCAAATAATATTATAGCATATGAAAAGATACATTTAAGGATTTTGCAAAGCTCTGTAGTATCGAAGGAATTAACACTAAACCCTCTCTTTATCAGCATATAATGAAATTGCCATTGTACCCTAAGACTTCAAGAGCATAATGTTTGTTTACTATGATCACTTCAAATCACAACGTTTCCAAGAGAAATTTCTCTAACTTAAATTTTAAACTCACATAGTAAAGCATATCTTTCTTTTACCATCTTTCTCTTACCTTGACAGTCCTTTTTATTTGAATGCATAACAAAACCATCTTTGCAAGAACAGTGGTAACTTCCAGGCGTGTTATCACAAAACTGGCTGCACCCTGCATTGTAATTTGAGGGATCTTTGCATTCATTTATATCTAAAAGGGGGAGAATAATTTTTTTAAGTAATATAAGTTTAGAAGACCTTTGAGGAATCCACTCTAGGTGGACAAGTTGTGTTGATCATACGTACCAAATTCACACTTCTCTCCTTGCCAACCTGATTTACAGATACAAGTGTAAGTAGCTTGGCCATCCCTACAGCTCAGATATCCATCTTCACTGCAGGGCAAAGGATCACACTGGTTTGGAATGGCTGGAGGAAATAGAGTTTTGTGTAACTTTTATAACATGGCACCATATTAAAACATAATCTCATTCTTGATTAGAATGTTAATAAAACTTTTGTTAATGAAATTATAACTCCTATCAAATTATACTTTTTCATTGCAAAATGGCTCTAGTAGGCAAGTCGTTAAAATGGTTTTACAGTGAAAATACTTTTACATTTGCATAAAATATTGTTGTAAAATATTGTTGTATAACATAAAATAGTGTTGTATAACTGTAACATATATTGTCTTTACTTTATTTGATGCTTACAATATCATGAGAATCTAGATTTTCTGGATTCACAGAGGCTAGATGTACCCCTGAAACTCCTGCTTTGAAATCAACTTGAAGACAAACAATGTAGCTTAACTATTAAAGAATGTTTACCTTTAGCATTATGCTCTTTTAAGATTTCTGGGTTTTTAAATCATTTTATTGGGGGCTCGTACAATTCTTATCACAATCCATACATACATCCATTATGTCAAACACATATGTACATTTGTTGCCATCATCATTCTCAAAACATTTGCCTTCTACTTGAGCCCATAATATCAACTGCTCATTTCCCCCCCTCTCTCCCCACTCCCCTTCCCTCATGAACCCTTCATAATTCACAAATCATTATTATTTTGTCACGTTACACTGTCCGATGTCTCCCCCCTGCCCTCTTCTCTGCTGTCCATCACCCAGGGAGGAGATTATATGTAGATTCTTGTAATCGGTTCCCCCTTTCCACCCCACATTCCCTCCACCCTCCAGGCATCGCCACTCTCACCACTGGTCCTGAAGGGGTCATCTGTCCTGGATTCCACGAGCACTCAAAAGGGTTGGTAGGAAATTTAGGGGGCAGTGAATTTATATTAATAAGGGAGGAACAACTCAGACATGGAAGGTGAGAACGGTTGTAAAATTCGAAGACTGTAATCGATGTCACTGAATTGTACATGTGAAAATTGTTGCATTGGTAGGTTCTGCTCTGTATATTCCCAGTAATAACAAAATAAAATAAACTATATGGAAAAAAAAACAAACAAAAATCCCACAAAGTAAGCAGAACAAATGATAGTACTGAGTATCAGCAGAGAAGAAATCGGTACTCCTAATTTGGACTACCATGCAGTCACAATTTTAAGTAAATAGAACTCTGGATGAATATGTGAACCAGTGTTTAGAAAGTGGACCATTACAGTGGAGTACTCTGATCCCTAGGTGAAGAGAAATAAGAAAGGTAAGCCCATCCTACTACCTGGAGACAACTTCAGTGCCACAGTACAAAGAACCCAAACACAGTCCAGTAATCTCCCAGTGTTGAGAAGAAAGGTGAAGTTTGGTGAGGTCAAACTATAGTTTTGCTGGTCATCGCACTGTAAAGGAAAGAATTTAACAGAAAGAGAGATCTATATAGAGGTCTTCTAAGTCTTATTATCTAAGACAAAGTAAAGTTTACCAGGAAATGTCACCAAGGGAATATCACCATGGGAGAAGTGACTTAGAAAAGCAAAGCCCAATTAATAAAAAAAGTTGCTATTGAGTCAGGCTAATTTTTCAGAAGTAGATTGTCAAGTCTTCCTGCTCAGATGACTCTGGGTGGACTTGAACTTCTTATCTTAGCAGCCAAGCAGTTAACCATTTGTGGCTCCCATGGGCTCAATTATTATATCCTTTTTTATTTTCTTCCTAAAATGACACAGTGCTTTATCACTCTCTGAAATAGGTCCATTTCCTTTCTTCTTTCTCTCCCTCCTTCCTTTCTTCCCTTTCCCCTTTCTATCCCAATCCCACCCTGCACTGGGATGGTAGCTCCTGCACATTCCCACACCTGCTTCTCAGGCATTTCTACTCAAGTCTCCAAATTCCTTCCACCTGCCAATATGTTCCCTTCGCTTAAGGAAGCCAATGGAAACTTCCATTGCTTGCATAAAAATACCCTGGCCAATACCTACTTAATTCCATAAACTTCCATAATATATCCTTGTAAAATCATGAAGCGATTTTGAAAAAATGCTAATATAGTAGGTATAGTTAAAAGGATAATATGGGATAATAGGGAAATCATTATTAAAGTTATTTTTTCATGTCCTTTGGCCAGAAAAGGAAAAAGAGAAGATGGTGAGCTATTCCACTTGCATAATTACAGGAGCTTTGCATTAGAGAGAGATAATGAGTATATCATGTCAATGTCATGTATTTAAAATAGTCACTGAACACATATCCCCATTTATATATTACAATGTTACCTTTTTTTTCCTTTGGCCATCCGTTGAGAAATTGGAAAAATAGAGGATGAACAAAATCTACCATTATTATTACTAGGTCCTACGGTGAACTTCAGAGGCTAAGTTGGTTTCACATAATGTTTTCCACATTTATATTATTGATGCCAAAAATTCAGAGGAATACATACCGTTCAACTTTGACCTATTAATCCGTTGCAACATTTAGTCATATTACATGATTATGCAACAACAGCCAAAATAAAGCTCTTAGGAATAAAAATTCTGGAATCCATGACCTCAGTAAAGAAAAAATACTTCAATTTAAATGTCAGAAGGAAATGCATTCTGAAAAAAACAGCAGTATTACAGAACTGAAAAACATTCTTTAAAATGCATCTTGAGGTAACTTCCTGGCTGTGTATACAGCTCCACAAGGTTTGATTCACAAGCATTAGTTATATTAATTTTGTATACCCTTCCTTCAGGTTTGTTCTGCTTGGTAGAGATGCTTACCAGTGACACAGCTCCTTAGGTCAGAAGAAGCAATTGTTGATTGATGCAAAGCACTGAATGATCCAGGTCGGTAAAAGCCAAGACAAGCTGCAAATACAAACAAACATAATCTTTTATGGAAGACAATTACTGGATCTGGAATCATAGTAGGGATTATTTCTGTAGGATATTTATGCTCTTGTAAATGCTCAGTATGCAAATTGTCAACCCTAAATCTACCTTTTAAAAAAAATTAGAAATCCAAACGCAAGATTACAATAAATACAGAATATTGGGAAATAAGCTATGGCTGCTCTCTGGAGAGGAACTTTCATGCTAGAAGTGAAAACGACCTTGGATTGTAAGAGGAATTTATTGTCACAGAAATCTATGCTCTTAATTCCACAACAGATATAAAGTTCCAATCAAATCTATAGACCAGAGTCTGATTCAGAAGATGTGTAAAATTAAGTAAATAGAATGAGGAGTGTTTGTTTTCATTGCAGACAGTTTCTAGATCTTCTAAGGTTGCATAAACAGTAATATATTTGTTTAATGCTTCAACATGTTCAGCATAGAATTACCTCCTTTATCTTGTTCCTAAGCAAACCTGGCAAAACAGATATAGAAAAATAGATATAAGTCATAGAAAAAAAAATTACAGCTGAAATAATAGAAATAAAAGATATAGAGGTTTTAAAATAAGTAGAGATAACTGGTGCTAAAATATAATACTTCTTTATAACTAATTACAACATTATAAAGCTCAGTTCTCTGTACAGATAGTCACCATTTGTATTAGTCTGGGTACATTACAGAAACAAATCCACAGAAACCCATTATAAGAGAGAGTTTTATATAAAGAGTAAGTGTACATGAAGAAAACATCCCAACCCAGTGCTGCCCAAGCCCACAAGTCCAACATTAGCCCATATGTCTGACACTAATCCACAAAGTCCTCCTCCATCTCACAAAATACACGCAATGCTGCTGACTGCAGGGGGAAAGCCGAATCAGTGAAAGGGTAATCATCTCAGCGCTGGCAGGGGTCTCCACACGGCTGCTCCAGCACCCAGAGCTGCATTGGGGTAAGTCCATGTGACTTATCCTCAGGGATGTCATACAGGAAGTGAGCCTTGCCAGCTGAAGCAGGGAACTGGCTAAGGCAGCTGCCCTGGTCTGACCATGAGAAAGAAGAGATGGAAGACCTCAAAAGGCGAGGCTCACTGAGCCATTTATCTCTCCACCCTTCAATTAACCCCACATGGGTTTATCAGCCAGGTTGGCACAATAAACTTTAACTATCTCACCAACTTACAAAAATTGGGGCATTTCAATTGTTTTTTGGTGAGTAATAACTATTGTGGTAGTTACATAATCTGTTGTCAATTTGAGTATTAAGAGTGAAGGGGTGGAGTTTAGCCTGTCAATCAGGTCACAGCTTGATGACCTCATGTGAAAATCAGAGGAGATAAATAGCTTGCTGGAGGCAGGACACACGTATACTCCCTGTCAGGCATGCTTGCTGTATGGCTCAGCCATGCAGCAGCCCTGGAGCTGAAGGAGCCACGTGAAGACCCCTGTCAGTGCTTATGGGATGATGTGAGTATTGTCTATGAATTCTGTGTGGCCATTGTAATGAATTCTTAAACCCTGCATGGGCATAGAGTGCTGTGGGAGGAATAGGTGGTGTCCAAAAAGGTAAAGAAGGATGGACTGTGGAAACATGTCTGATCCCTGTCTCATGGCAATAAGTGTGGGATACAGAAAGGTTTTGCCCCAGGTTGTTCCCCATATTGTATGCCAAGGTAGGATGTTGCTTACTAGCACATGGAAGGTCCACTGCTTAGAGGTTATCTCCCTAGGGTATCAGCCATCTAGGCAATCAGACCCTATTGTATGCTCCACCCTAGGTGGGGCCCACTCTCTGCTGATAAGGATAGTGGATTGTTTCCCTGCCCAGAGACAAGGGCATGCCAACTCAAGAAGGACCAGGTTGGGCTGCCATATTGAATTTAGGATCCGCTCATCTTGTCACATGCCCCCCCTAGCTCATCCTCTTCCTGCCTATTGGACAGTCCTTTCCTGTTAGGTATGTGGTTACTTGTAATCAGTGGAGCTTGTGTGTCATCTAAATGTATATAAGCCAGGATGAGAAATATATTCTCTCTCTACGTGGACCTGGTTACTGAGATCATGGCCAACCCGGAGGTGAACATGCTACTGTGAAATGTGTCTGACTCCTTTATTTTACTCTCTCTCCTATCTTCTATGACTTTACTATAACCTTTATGTATTATCACCGTACAATTACGCCTACAGACCTTTTGGTTGTTAGAGGCTGGTTCCCTTTGACAAGCCCTGCGATGCCTCTATTGCCACTGGATCCACAAGACTTTCCACCCACTGGCCTGTGATCTTCCTGCATTTGGCATCAATCCATGTGTTTTGTGAGTCTGAAGAGGACTTTATAGATTGGTATCAAACATAGGAGCTAATGGACTTGATCTGAACTGGGCTGGAATGTTTCCTCAATATTGAATTGTTCGTGTATATAAAGCTCTTTGTTATAAACATAGGAGTGTCTATGAATTTCTTTCTCTAGTCTTCCCAGACTAACACAGCTATAAAACAATAGTTTAAAGCAGCCATTCTATTTTGCTTGCTTATCTGTAGATCAAATAGTTGGGAAGGGTTTGGTAGGGTCAATTATCTGCTAAATGTGGAGTAAATTTTAGTGACTGGGACTGAGAATCTACTTCCAAGGTGGTATTTCATTCAATATCCACATTTTATTTTCCTGGGAGAATTTTTATCCTTTGGTATTTAATCCTGAAAGGCTTTTCCATCTAAATCATTCATTCCTCCATCTGAGCCAACCAAATTGTTCTAGTGTGGAGATTTCATTAGCATCAATATTGACAAAGCATCATTTAGCCCCGGTGAACAAATATAGTGAAAAAGATCAAAAATGGAAAGTCCTTAAGTAGGAGGAACAGGAAAAATATGAAATACAGTGATTATTTCTGTACACCAGACTACATACACATCTATAATAATATATGTAGAACTGTGTTTTTTATGACAGAGTACATTTTAAATTACAGTATAGGAAGCTGTATAGTTACTCCAAATAAGTACAATATAGACGTTTCTTCTCTTCAAGAAACTTATTTATACCACTCCGACGTTGTCATAAAAGAAATCATCACATACAAGTATGAATATTTACTTGTTTTAAATTTGGGAACAGAAGAGTGGGTTATGCCTCCAGTAATAGTACTATTGATCTTTTAAAATCCTACATGGTTTTTGTTTTTAAAATATTTATTACCTTTTAAAATATTTATTACCCCACTTCCACTTTAAGTCACATTTTAAGGTAATGCATATGTATCACCATATTTTTGTATATGCACTTATAATTTTGTAACCATGGAATTTTTATTTCCAAAAAATGTTTTATGCTATATGTATATTAAATATTACTCATAAATTTAATATGAGGTACATATAACAATTTACTTATTTATTTATATGAATATATGATTGAATATATATATTTAATTCAGCCCTTTCTATTATACATGATTTGTTAATTCTAATAGCTAAACATTATTCAATGACAGAATAGACATTTTTATAAGGCTTACTACATGAAAAACAAATTGCCACCAACTTTTTCAGCTTTGCAAGTTGTAGTACAATAGATTATGCAGATCTCTAAAATATACATATACTTAAAAATTCTTCAAAGTGGCATTCTCATCCGCAGACCATAAGGATTGCTCTCTTTACTTCTAACTTTTGCCAAACTAATAAGTAATAAAGCAATACCTCAGGCTGTTTTCCGGATTTTTAATGAGATGTATATGTCTTCAGGCCATTTAAAATATTCTGGATGGCCTCTTATGAAAAATGTTCTTATTCATTTTTTAAATCATTTTTCTATTAGCATTAATTTATTGTTCTTGTGCATTTTCAAAAATTTATACATTCATATGTATCATCTCTCCTATCCGTGCCATTTTGGTAGTATCTATTCTTTAATTATGAGAAGTTCTTAATATGTGTATAATCAAATTTATCCTTTATTTTTATTATAAAATCAAAATTATTCATTATTTTGCTCTATTGTATGTGTTTTTGAAGTTCTTAGATGTTATAATATTAATCATAAATTAATTCTCTCATATTTTCCATCAATTTAGTAGCTTTATTTTGACAATTTTTGGTCCTCATTCTACCTAGAACCAACTTTAATATTTGATGGTAATTATTTCCCCAGACTTATTTTTCTACTTGTACTTCAGCAAGTTTCATCATTTAAATAATCCACTGTTACTTATGGCATCATCTTTATCAAATTTTAGTTTGTCATATATACATAGATTTGCCTCTGGGCTCTTTGTTCACATGCACTAGTCTATGTATTCTGCCAATGGCATATAAGTTTACTGGGCTTGGTTATGAATTTTTTATCAGATATAGATTTCTTTCTATAGCTTTGTATTACAAGTGTTTTATGAAGTATTCTACACTTTTCCCCCAAGGTGATTTAGTCATATGTGAAAGCTTATCCATTTATGTAAATTTTAAATTGAATTAATTTTATTCTATTTTTTAAATCCACATGGAATTGTAATTGAGATTGGCTTAAACATATAGATTAATTTGAAATAGAGTTGGCATGTTTCAAATATCCATTCAAGTAACTCTGAATGTCAGTGGCCTCAATTCATCCATTAAAGACAAAGGCTAGCAGACTGACCCATCAATCTGCTGCCTGCAAAAGAAACATCTTAAGCTCTCAAACAAAAATAGACTAAGAATAAAAGGCTGGCAGAAAATATGCCAGGCAAAAGGCAACTTTATAAAAGCAGTGGTTGCAATCCTAATCTCTGACAAAATTGACCTCAAGGTGCAAACTATAACAAGAGATGAGGAGCACTATATAATACTCAAAGGTTCAGTAAACCAGGAACCAGTGAGCATAAAATATATGTGCACCTAATGAGAGACCCGCAAAATTCCTCAAGCTATTCAAAAGATGAAAACAGAAATCACAGATTCAACAATCATAGAAGGTGACTTTAATAAACCACTAT